TCCCTCGGGAGCAGACATTAAGTGTATATTGTTCACATCGTCATCGGCCATACTATTACCATCTCATCGTAATCTATTCAATCAATTTTTGAGTAAAAATTTACTTTACCAAAACAAAGAGTAAATTTGCTCATAAATATATGCGAGTAATTTTACTCAAAATGTCGAGTCACTGTGTGTCAGTGCATTATTTTACTCAAGCTTCTGTCGGTTCTGAGTCAAAATTTTTTGCAGTGTTTAATTTCATACTATTGAAATTTTTAGCCTGCATGTATGCAAAAAAGTGTAGCCCACAGGCACAGATCAAGACGGTGGTAGTTTATCCACATTACAAACTCAGCTTGATCAAGAAATGATGGTCTGGAAACTAAACAGAAGTCATTGTGTTATATTTTTGTCTGAGTTTATGTATTATATTATATTTTTGTCTGGGTTTGTGCACTTGGTCACAGAGATTGAGATCATTGTGTTTTCGTATACTGTATCGTCCAAACAAATGTTTTCTATTTTGCACGTGAGTTTGAAGACGAAGTTTGCCGGGTTGCCAGACCATCATATACTTTGACAGACTATGGCTTGATGATCATGCATAGAAATTTTGAAAACCAGCAACAATAACATACATGTGAGGTTAGTTTTCCTGTTTCAAATTTGATGCGCTTTCCTCGGCTTGTACCCACCGTCTTGTCCGAGAACATAATCTTCAATGTTTACCTAAACATAGTAATGAAAAATAATATACAGGTAGACTGTCACAGGGCTCGAAACATAAACCGCCTGTCAAGGACAGGCCATATTTCAGAAATGGCAAGCGAAAAAAAATTGACTTGTCAAGTGATATGATTAAGAAAATTAACATATTTATACATGTTCATACCTGAGTGAGGCAATTTTGGCAGTTCAAAAATAGATGGCTGTCTTTCCTCTGCAGTTAAATTCTTCAAATATTCTTGCATTACACTTTGCAGAATATCAGGCAGCCCACAATAACCATAATCTATCAGGCTGGGTATTCTATATCGAACTTCGAGCGAACGAGTAGTCCGTCTCGCTGCTTTAGCTATTTGTTTCCGCCTTCAAAGTTGAGCAAAACTTCGACGAGGCCACGAGGGCGTTTCGTCAACATTCAACCGCCTCGCAAAGGCTTTCATTCTGCTGCTCAACCTGTTACACCGCCGTACAATCATCCGGAGTGTTGCGCAATTCCATGGGAACGGTTTAAAAATTCAATACAGTGAAGACTTGCAGGAAAATAATATTTTTGAACCATGACCATGTGCAATTTTCAAAATTTCGAACTTGCCGCCATTTAAAAATGTTGCGAGTGAGTTACTGAGTTTAGGCCTGGGGAGGAATATGTTTCCACTTTGCTGATGCATTATTCCTTAGGAATTTTTTTCGGCTTTGATTCGCTTTTAATGCAAGAGATTTCAGCTTCGAAAATTTCGAGATAATATTAAAATGCTTGAGCACAAAAATACAAGAAAAAATGATGAAGAAAGATGCGCGGCCATGATTATACATCATAAAATTTAACAACGCTTTCTGACCATTTTTCTAAGTCTTCTAACTACCACTCCACGTCAGTAGATAACGTTTATATTGTAGTGGATTATAACGGTCAGTGATTGGCTATTTCCCGAACAAAAACACTAAAATGGCCATCTAATTAAACGCTTTGTTCACATTTTGAACTCAGTGCTAAAATATGATTAGATATATATTAGACTGAATTTTTAACACTCTTCTGGATTAGATATATATTATACTGAATTTTTAACACTCTTCTGGTTCGCTATGCTTGAAAATGAATACAGACTAGAGATTCAATTCAAGAAAGTTCAAAAGATACGAAATATTAATAACATTCCAACGGTCGGGTCCCGACCATTGGAATGTAAGCCTGCGCAGAACGTATGCGCAGAACGGACTTTACATGGTCTTTAAAATTAAAGGTATATTATTTGATTAGTACTGTTCATAATAAGAAGCTATTCTGTTACTTTGAATTTCTTGAGTCAATTTTCATATTAACAACCCCGATTTACACCAAATACAATCTTAATCTCAACGCTTTTGTTAATGCAACCTCTATTCTCTAACTAGCCTAGTTCATTGGCCTTTTCACTTCCGCCTTGCTGGTATTATGACAAGTTTACCTCTATTAAATCCTAACCATTTCCTAAATAAATTACATTCACGACCCAACTTAGATAGGCGTCTGCGAAACGTGATTCAAGTGTCTCCTTCCAGTTCAGTGTCATTCCACAACAGTGTGAATAACATGACGTGCGGCAAGCAAGGAACGGTGAGAAAAAACTGAGCTCCTTATATATCTGGAGCGAGAACTCAAGTCCAAAAAATGAAGCCAACATGGCGGAAATTGAAGAGCTATTGGACGTCAGTTGCAGTCCCTTTCTATTGTTTTTTCTGAACGGTTAACACGAAGCTGGCAAGGAGTGTGCCGAAATTTCGTATTTTGGCATCCATTTAAAGAATAACACTATGGTTTTATGAACTGATACCTTGTTTAACGATACGGTCGGTTAGAAAAACTGGAATGGCATTGGAACTGTTTACGACCTTCATAGCTTTGGACGTCAATTTCCACCGTCATCTTGGCTTCATTAGACAGATTTAGATCGAGGACGCCGACGTCAAAGATGACGTGAAAATGGCGTCAAAATGGCGTGGCATATCCATACATGGGCACAACACGCCATTTTCACGTCGTCTTTGACGTCCGTGTCCTCGATCTAAATCTGTCCACTTTTCTCACAGGCCGACTATTTTATGACTCCAAAGTCTTTTCATTTAAAAAGTATTAAATTGTTTGGTTTTATAATCCGCTTAGTTTTATTCGCTTTTATTCAGTTTTTAGTCCTCTGTCCGCTAAGAAAAAATGTCAACACTTATATTCTGTTCAGAATCCCTCGATCTGATGAGTTTTGAACAGAAGTTTTATTCGGAGTGACATTTCATATATTATGCCGAAATGACGTCACAAACAAAGGATTAGAGTACGTCAAAGTAACTCAAAGGAAAACGGCAATAAAAATTACGTTCGCTTAATTTGAAAGAGTTTTGAGATTACTTACATTTTTTTTTACAAATATTCCGAAACTATCTTAATTAAATTTTGAGATACATCCTGCCATCCGCCATATTGTTTTATAATTAGACCTAAATATATGACGTCACAGCCAGGGTAGACGTTTTAAAACTAAAAAATAACATCAGCGAAAAGCTTATACATAGCTTATGCCTTAATTTAAAGTCGACAATAGTATAAAAAATAGGATTTTGCATACATATCCCACGATGGATATGCTTGATTTTGTTTGAAATGAACGGTAATCTCTTTTATACCAAGAACGATAAATAAATATAATAAGGATCTCTCTCCAAGTGGGAGAACTTGCTATTCCCTTTAGATTGAAGCTTACATAATTGGGATTATAACTGTTAATTTGCAAATTGGCCTTTCGATTGTGCTGGCTTACTTCTACTTCTAGGTGTAACGTTTGATAGGTCTGTTTCAACCTACTATTCCTTAGTCGCTCCCCTTTGCGCCGATGTTATTCGCACAAAAGTGGAGCATTCATTCATGCTTCGTTCATCTTCACTGCGAGAATACTGATGATCATGATGAATAAAAATGGGTCAATTTCAACACTTTGTTCTTCAAATTATTCGAGTTTCTTTCTCAATTGTCTTCTAAATAACACGGGAGCGAGGGAAAGCAATGCAGAAATTATAACGATTGTGATTGATTGGAATGTCATCACATCTCCTGTAGTCGTCAACTTGTGCACTTCAACACCAGCTGTGATGTAACCAAATGAGGGTGGCGCGACACCTGAAAATACAAGACCGTATGACCTGTGGCTTAGAGCCTGTTCATAAGATAAACTTTATTCAAGCAGAGCTACAAATACTGCTACGTAGAATTAAAAACGTATTAAATTTACAGACAGACTACATAAAAATTATACCAGTTATAATTGTAGTTTAAAGATAGAGAGCAGCAAATAACTTTAAAACCAAACATAATAAAAATAAAAGACCTAATAAAAGTAAGAAAATAATAAAAGTAAAAAATAATAAAAGTAAAAACATAATAAAAGTTTAAAAACTTAACTAAACTAACCATGCACTTAACATTAATCTTTACTAATTAACTTGTTACTGATAAGTTGTTTTCCTTTCTTTCTATTCATTTGCTCTTTGAAACTATAAGTAACCGTTTATGTAATATTAAACCTGTAATATCACAATTGTTGTAAAGAACTCAGTCAATACTTAGTAGGGTAATATAAGAAAGCGTAATCATTTTGATGTAATCGGTCATTGAAGGTGAATAATGTATGTATAAAATTCCCCATAAAATAAAACGACACTTGTCTTACCTACAAATGTTCCAACAAAAAATGGCAAAAGAGGAACGTCAATAACAGGCGACGAGATATTAATAAACCAGTTGGGTAGAAATGGCGTGATACGAAGAAATATTATGTAACTTAGCAGATCGTCTTTGTGTTTTTGTACCTAGAAATAAATTATATCAAGAAATGGTGCATGACTGTCAGTTAAGTGCATGCATGTGTTGACTATTATTAAAGGCCACTGGCAAAAAAAATCAGTTTGTCTTATTGGAAAGAACTTTTTTTAAATAATTAATAAAGAATTTTTACACCTATTGCATATCTTGCTTTTATATTCTTGAAAATAGTGACCTGTCTGCCATCTTGTATAAAGATTGAAAGTTTTGCCAAATGTATAATGCCGTCCACAAAACAAATCAGAAAGAAATGACTTACATTCGTCTGCCATTCAAGAATTCTTTCAGGAAAATAATATCTGATAATTCTTGTTCCAACTAGATAGGAAAGTAAGTAACAGAACGAAGCACCTAGGCTGGAACACTGAAACAAAAGAAATATTTAAACTTTAGTGAACTTTGTAGTTTTTAATTCTTTACACACAGATCTCTGCACGAACTGTTCGTTATACCGTTATATCGAGGTTGTTTTAACTTGGCATGCATAATTTCAATTTGTGCCCAGAATGATCAATGATGTCGTGGTTTGGAGGTGCCCGTTGTTTAGAGTTTTCAATAATATGGATTTTAAGTAAACCCAGGGCACGAAATTAGTGTATGTTGCATGGAATTGTCCATTGACAGACCCTATATAGCCTGTAGTTGTTCTGCAACGTTACATTATGTTCTCCAAAAAGTTTAATTCGTATTAATAACTAAAGCTATCTTACCAGAAACATAATTTAACGTTGCACAAGTACAGAGTTGCCTGCAGGGAAGGCTAGACAAACCCAAGTTTGTTGAGTTTATTGAATGATGATAATATACTATTACTACTGATAGGACATCGTTTGTGGAAACATCACGTCTATAGCATTGATCTTCATCAGTGGTCTGGTTGTCATATCTGAAGATGTTCTCCCTAAATCGATAATCCCCACGAGAGTAACTAGATATTCCAGTGCCAGTGAGTTATCCTTCCGCCCCCCAAAATGCAGGACTAGGACTTTCCAGCGATCGTATATTACCCGCGTCACGAGAGTATGGAATTGTCTTCCAACAGACTTAAGACAACCAAATTTGAGTTTAAGTACATTTAAGAGTTTATTACGACAATATTATTCGAAAGCCCTGCACAGTTGTTTTGATGCAGAGGACCCAAGAACATGGCGATCTATATGTTTAAATTGTAACTCTTGGCGAAGTTTGACCAATGTTATTAACTGTATGTAACCTATATGTTAAAAGGGCCCGCAGTAATTGGTTTTAACTGTTGTGGTGTCCCCGCCATTCGTCACTTGTATAGTTTTTTGTATTTGTATTGTATGCATGTCATTCGCGTAATTTTTACCTGGCGAAGTTAAATAAATAAATAATAATATATGACTTCTACTGTATGTATTAATAATTTAGCACTGCATGATAAAGATTCATGCAATAATATTTACAGCTAATTCAAAAAAGGTTGCCCTTTGCAAATCTTAAACTCTATTAAACCTTAAACTCTAAGCGTGCAAAGCATAATGGGAGCATCATGCATTTAATGCGTTTAGAAATCATATATGGGGCCCATTTCTTAGAGATATGGTAAAAATCTCCTTGTGAGAACAATTCATTCACAAATATACATGTAGCTGCAATATTCAACTACTAAGCTTGAAACTAGTGCTCCCATTAAGCTTTGCGGGCTTAGAGCTTAAGGTTTAGAGTTTAAGATTTGCAAAGGACAACCTTTTTTGAATTAGCTCTATAAAAAATGTTTTTTTCCGTAAATGAAAACATATCCTATCTGTTTATTAACTTACCAAGCAGACTAAAAATAAAGCGAGTGGAAACGGGAAAAGAAATCCTGACAAAATGCTAAGAAATATTGACCCTGGAATTGCAAACGATTGTAAACTAACAGCGAAGTTAAAGAAAAAATAGTATCACGAATTCAGGAACACTACTATAAAACTTATAACTTATAAATTGCTAAAAAAGAGTGATTTATTGATTTTCCAAGGCAATCCCGTATCTATATGAACATGCAGGCTTTGGACTGGTTAATTATGAAAATAAAACACAATAATTGAATAAACCAAATTACAAATAGACATCATCTTTCTATATATAAAGGCTAAAGACGGAATCATTGTTTCAGAAAACCAATATACAGTAATAAGATAATTTCTCTATATAATAAGCAGAATCTCGGAGTATACGCTAAACCAAAGAGACAAAATAAATTTCCATTATTCAGCCTTAGAATATTGAAGTATTGAACATCAACCATACAAAAAGGATACAAAACGTATATGTAGAAAAATGCTAGTACAACGGTAAAAAAATAATCATCTTTATAATTGGATAAAACTGTTGCCAGAGCTTTCGCATCCTCCATATTCATTGGTAGTCGTATCTTGTCCGCATCCTCTCTGCAAGAAATATATTCTTCAAGTTCCTTTTGCTTGTGCACGCCATAGATATCTTATGTATACACTAGATAGTGCATCTAATTATTCTGCAATTCAAAAATTGAAGCCGTAATTGCAGTCTCAGGTCGTTCCAATGAAATGAGAAGATTCGTATGTTTTCTATTTCTTAAACAGGGAACTTAAACATTAAGTTAACCCTGCTCCAAATACGTTTTTAAACTATTCAAATTATGAAAGTTATTGTTGTTTTTAAGCGTTTATTAGCAAGTGGGAACGACCAACATGGCCGCCATCTATTCAAATGGGGGTAACCGCTGGAATATTTTTGGCTTCAATTTTACTAAAAGAGATGCGCTATCTAGTGTATATAAGATATCTATGGTGCATGCGTATGATAAAAAAGTGAAGTTTTCCTTGACATCGGCCTACAGACGAGCAGATTTTTTTATGTGATACAGTCATGCATATGAACAAGTCAAATAAGTTTGCCAATTTTCAAAACCAGGCATCAGTATATGCATAAAAAAATATTCTGTTTCCAGTCAGTGTGTTTGTCCAGTATTGACGCAGCTTTTTCCCCTTCTTTTTTTAAGGAGGGGCTTATTGTTGCAGAAAAGGGGGATAATTTTTAGTTCCTAGAAAGTGTATAAAATTTATAGTGATTTTTATGCTTGCAGGTTTAACAGAATAAAAAGAGAACTACTATAAAAATATAATCAGAGTTCAAATAATAAATTATAACTAATAATTTGCCAACAATGCGCAGTTAAAAATGACGCGCGCGATGACCATGCAGAAACAGAATATTATTTTTTAGTCCCTACCATAAACTTGTCAAATATTGTCATACACATATGAGCAAGTGAATCTTTACAAGGGAAACCCGCTGTTGTCTGTATGGCGGTTCGCTTTAATATAAGCCGGGTGCCTGACAGGACAGTAGTAATTGCCCCAAGATGTAAAAAGTATGAAACCATTGAAAAACATTTATTTAGTACGGTACTTGATACAACATGGCTATATACTTAGATTGATGTTTTGACAGTGCAATCACCATGTTAATTAACTTATTGTGCTTAATATTTATATGAAAGACAACTTGCTAAACAACCTCGTACCCAGGGTATTTGCTCTTGGGGATTTGCTCTAAATACCCTGGGAACGAGGTTGCTTGCTAAAAAAGTTACATTGTACTGTATCAAACATAATACAGTACTTCCATTGACTGCATGAAGCAGTATACCTGGGTATAAATATCTATCACATATCTAAAATTTAGAAATAATTGAGTAAAATATCAAATCTAAAATTTAGAAATAATTGAGTAAAATATCAACAGGATTTCAAAAGGTGCCTAGCTCCCTTACATTATTGTATTAAATTTCCATTGTAAATATTTTTTGTGAGCAAATATATTCTATTCTAAAAAACGTAAGGCAAAATACATACGGTTTTAATTTTGGAAAACTCATGTACAAAAACACCATCAACAAAAGAGATGAAATAAATATTAGTGCCAACAATATAAATTGTGCTTTGTTGCTTTCACTTGACGCATCTAAAGAAATAGATAATAATGATTATTTAAAGTTATTATAAGTAGGATATGGTAATGCACTAGTACACCCCCCACCCCCCCCCGTGGCAAAACAATTCCTCTTGTTAGTTCCCACTCATTTCCCCCACTACCGGTGGATATTTCCTGTTAAAGGCCCTAGTACTATTGTACAAAATAGCAAACCGATCAATGAGCATGTTCAAACACAATGACCTCTAATGTTCAGTTCCTCTACTCTAGCTGAAGTGCGAATGTTAAAATCCTGGCTACTAAATCCCCGGTCACCCCGGAGAAATGCAGCATTAAATAGGCGTTATCCCACGGCTCTGTGCTCATTAATTCTCTGCTATTAATTCTCTGTGCTCATTAATTCTCTGAGGGTCGGGGGCCGTAGTTTCAATTGACTAGTGCATAATAGTTAAGAATGAAAGTTAATAAGAAGTACAGTTGAACCCCGGCCTTTTAACACACACAAGGGGTAAAATCTAAAAAAAAATTAGTTGCCCAACTAGTGAGCACCAGAGAATAATTATCAAGTCTCCGTAAATTTAATAATTATCAAGTCTCCCTAAATTTAATAATTATCAAGAATGTTTAACATCAAAACTTTGCTCTTAAAGAAAAATTGGGTACCAGTCTACCAGATAAGTGTTGTGTGGATGTCATGTGGCCTAAAATATATATTTGTCGGTTTTTAGTACACAAAACAATGTCAGGCAACTTACACTTCAAAAGTTTCAATTTAGCTCAGCTGGCGCTAGGCAACAAGAATGTCAGTTTATAAGAAACACAATATTCCTTAGCTGCAGTCTGAATGTTGCAGGCTAACTGGAATTCTCAATTTTGCTAAAATTTTTATATTTCTGGCTAATTAACACTCTGCTCATAGAAAAACCTGCTTACACTTGCAATTTTTTCTGTGATTTTCTTCTTTTGATGGATGTGAATGAGTTAGAAATATTCAGATGAGGGTGGATATATTCAGATGAGGGTGGATATATTCAGATGAGGGTGGATATATTCAGAACATTTGTAATTCATCTACTCTTTCACATGCATCAGAAGAAATCAAACCAGAAATCACAGCAAAAATTGAAAATGTAAACAAGTCTTAATGCTATCACTATCTTCCACTGTTATAACTCCCAACTTCTGGGCTATTTATATTTATGATTTTACATTGTATTGTAGTCTCTATGTGCCTTCTTATTGGCCAGTAGCTTACAGCTAAATCTGGACCATTGGCTCGACTGATAACACTTTTTAAAATACCTTAATAATTATGGATATCACAAAAACCTCATCCAATACCTGTTTAATATCTAACACCACTACTTACAATAAAAGTAACACATAGATATATAAGTTAACAATTAACAACCTAATATAAAACAAAATAAAGCAACGGCAAGTTCATGTGATAAAAAGTATCTAATAATTACAAAATGCGACTATAAACGTCGTTAGTATTTAGCTTTGGTGACGAAATATGGACACGAGGACACCCCCTCACCGAAATATAAAACCACAATTAAACTAAATTTAAATAATAAATAAGAATTGTAAGAGCTCTATCGATTAAAAATCAACTATGCCATGTTACCTCGGAAGAAAAACTTCCATTCTGGAAACTTTTGAGGCAAGGGTCGCCTCGATTGTATTTTTGGCGTCTGTCTTGTTGACATGTTTATCAGTAATATCAGAATATTTGATACTTTCTGAATAAGCTTTCTGCCCCCCTAAATATTATGGGAAGGTCACTTTGTTCCGGGGGAAGACAACAATTGCGAAGACGGACACGTGTATTTTATTGTTCACTCGTGCTTCCATGTGCTAGTAATAAAATTCTTTTTTAAATAGAACATTGTAAAACATAAAAGAAACATACACATGAAAAACATTGTAAAACATTTGATTCTTGAATTGAGAATAATTTTGAGAATAATTCTCCAAATGCTTTTATATACAAGCCACAAATCTATAATACATTTATAACCAAACCATAGGAATACTAAACAATTATTGAGTGAGGTTGAGTATGAGATTGAGAATTATCTTGATAATTGGGGGGCGGACCATTAGAAACCCGGGAGGGGGTGTGAAAATTCCCGGAAAAAAATTCGTGCAGCCTTACGTCAGAGAAAAAATTCGTGCAGCCATTACGTCAGAGAAAAAAATTCGTGCAGCCATTACGTCATAAAAAAATCCTACAGAGACATGAGACTGAAAAAAAAATCGTGCCTCAAAAATTTTATGCCCCCTCCCGGGATTTCTAATGGTCCGCCCCTTACGTTTTTTAAAAAATATGGAATTTCCGCGCGCTTTTTAGCAAACAATGAACCGCGCCGGAGCTTGGTAACCACAGCGTGCAATACAAATACTTTTCTGGAATTATTGCACGCTGATGGCGTCAGCAGCTGAAATAACGCGACGGCTTCAAGATACCGAGATTATCCGACGCGTTTTGACCAATTACGAACGAGAATAAACATTGAACATATAGTATCTGGACCAATCTCGAGTTATTATGAATAATAGAAGAATCTATAATATTTCTATGAACCAAACACAATGTTATACTGGTACAGAATTTTTTGAATTTCGCGTATTGACATAAAACTTACATTAATTTTAAAATGGCTAGTGTTATTATGAAAGATATGGGTGGGACATCGTAGAATGTTGTTTGGCTGTGCCCTTAGCTAGTGATTCGGAGGATGAGAAACGAATTAAGAGGGCGATAAAAGAGAGCAAGTCCTATGGGGAATGAGGGTCTCCCAGGGGTTTTGGGGGAACAAGGGAACACTGTAAATTTTACAATAGGAACACGGGAACAAAGGAAACAAAATTAGGGAACAAGGGAACACGAAATACATTGGGGAACAGGGGAACAAAGCCCCTTTCCTAGAATATATACAAGTGTTACAATCATAGGCGTACGGGGCCGCTAAATTCTGGGGGGGCGGTAGCTTTTTTGCCCAAAAAATTCCACATTGCCCAAAAACTTTTTTTCCGGAAAAATTATTTTGGCGACCCCCCCCCCCGTCGCCAAAAAAATTTCGGTCAGTGTACCATTTTAGGGGTCAAAAAATTTTTCCGGACAACCAATATTTTTCGGAACATAGCACAAATTTTCCAAAAATTACAAAATTTGCCAAAAAATTTACTTAATTTTAGACAAAATTGACAGATTTGTCCCATTTTTTTTAATTGCAAACCAAAATTGCCCGACTGTTGATCGAATATTGCCCAACTGCCCAAAAAACTGGGAAATTTCCCCCCCCCCGGTAGCCCCCCCCCCGCCCGGTACGCCTATCGTTACAATGGCCTAATGTATTGTAGATGAAAAATTGGCATAATATATCGTTTTCTGATCTCCCTGGGAAGTTTTTGCCCTTTTATGACATTAATGATCTCCCTGAATTCCAATTTGTCCAACCATGCAGCTTGTGTACTTGTGGTAGACTGTTCTACGGGCTGCTTGAGGATGATAAGTGAAGTTCCTCCTCTAGTCAGATTTTTGAGCAGCCATCATGAGTTTTCTGTCACATTTTGCTTGCACCTGAAAAAGCAGATACCAACGGCAACGCCCAGCTTCACAATCGACGCAGCAATCACCAGAATCGACTGAGAGGTACAGTATATGACTTCGATTGTCAGTGCATACATAGAACAAGTCAAAGCCTTCCTTAGGACAAATGCCCAGAGCCAAGGTCCGCAAGGAAACGTTTCTTCAGTCGTTGTGGAAGACGAAACAAGAATCTTTGGGAGAAATCCGAGGTCTGCTTCAAATGTATGATCCACAGCTTTTGAAGTTGTTCAAACTTAAAGCCTTTTGACGCTGGTAGTCGAGAAATTTTCTCCGAGATGAGGGCAGGGCATGTGATATGCCAATGCAGTTGCAGTTCGACTTTCACTTCAGTCGAGCAATGAAGGAGCACTTAAATACTTCAAGTCAAATCTGACTTGACTCTACCAAAGATGGCTCCACCTTCAGCAGCACAGTTGACAAAGTCACAAGTGCAGCAAATGAGAGACTGGCGCATGAAGTATGGTCAAAGTGTCCCATAGAATACCGTGCGGAACATGAGCACTAAAGACAATCTGGGTACTCTGCCGATAAATCTCTATGCCCAGGCACAGCCAGCTAGCGAGCCTTTAGAATTCTTGAAAATTACAGAAAATGGTACCCAAACAGACACACACCATGCCAACACGCACAACCTTCTTCATTCCACTGGAGACGTTGTTTTTCTTACCTCGTACGCCAATTCCGGGCGGATGATGATCTACCAACTATACAAGAAAACGTTAGTGTTTCATCAAAGAAAGCAAAAGCCACCATATTTTTGAAGGTGACCCTTTCAATCCACTTATATTTACAGAAGAAGGAGTTGTCAAAGTCAATGCGAAAGAAATACCTGGTTCTCCAGTGGAAACCGTTTGCAGGAGATCTGGAGATAGCAAACTTGAACTGACAGAGAATGCATGAGTTGTTAAGATAGCAGTCGAGAATGATTAAATGTGTTGATACGGTGACGATTGAAGAGGCGAGAGAAATTAGAGAGCGCCAGGATATCACGAGGTCAAGACGTGCAAGAAAGACACCACATAGGCTACTGATGTCTGATGATTTTGTATATCATGATTAGTAAAGGTGATACTTTAGTACTTTAATCGTTGGAACAATTGAACAAACTTTAGATGCAATGCTGTTCATTAGATCTATTTTTTGTTATGTAATAGTAATACTGTCAATACTTCCACGAAGTCAAATAACTAACATTATAGTCTTCTTCAGTATTGTATTTTTGAAATCAACAACATCTGCAGGCTTGTGATTGTATTTTTCTGTTTAATTTTGTCAAAGTGAACGTATGTATTAATATAATGGATGATAGCGAGGATAAACTGTCAAATTTTCTGAATAACGAAACAAAATTTAATTGATAAAGGGGAACAAGGGAGGGTTAAATTTTGGAAGGGAACACGGGAACACGTACAACCCCT